AAATTTGAATCTGTCAAAATTCAAAAGCCTTTTGATTTCGTAGTCTCCATATTGAAAAGTCACTGCTAAGGTTCAGAAGCTCATGAAATACTGATATAAAGTTCACACACACACACACACACACACACACACACACATATATATATATATATATATATATATATATATATATATATATAGCCACACTGATGAGCTGTGAAACAGCGAAACAGTCTATGTGGATGACGTTATATATATATATATATATATGTTATTCCAGGATCAGTTTCCGATTTATTCAAGATGATCTACGCCCTTTACCCTTTTAAGCTTCTGGCCTCTGTCTTCTGTACGATTTCATTTTTAAGTTTTTTTTCAATAATCTATGAACTGTCATGGACTCTTTTCTCACTTGCCAAACGTCTTATTAACTGATTTGGATCTTTTCTAATTGATCTCTTTAGCTCTAAGTTGAAATAATGACCCCCCCCTCTTGCTTTGTGACCTCTGATCCACTTTTTCTCTCTGCTGTTCCCTCTTTTTAAAACTTATTCTCCGTTCTCTTAATGGTTCTTGAAAGGCCTTTGAAGATTGAAGCCAGAGTATTAATGTTCGTACCATTACTGAAGACCTGAATGATCGTTTTCCTTTCACCATTGCTCAGTTTTAATGACAGTGGGTTTGACACGAAATGATTTTAACCTGTTCGCTTTTTAGCTGAATAACTCAAAGGGGTTTTTCTGTGGTTCTTGCGAAAAAATGACGCCAAGATCGGTAAACGTCTCATGTGAAAAGCTGGAAAAAAGAAACTCAATCAGTTTAGCATTTCTTTTCAGATATTAAACATTTTCTGAGATAGTTATGCTGTTAAACGATTTGGACAATTTTGCTGTTACACTCGGCACACACACACACACACACACACATATATATATATATATATATATATATATATATATAATAATGAACTCTCCCGTCGGTTTCGACGTATGAGGATCTGACAGCTTATTGATTCAGTTATGGAATTTTGTGCGATAATCTTAAGTGGCATTTAAGACCCGCTAGTGATTTACAAAGGAGGCCACATATGGAGCAAGTGTGAGGATGAGATCACTGTTAGATTGGCTGACCTTTTAGATCTTGCTCTCGCTTCTTGAAGATGATTCAGACAAATAAATATAAATATAAAAGTGAACATAGAAGTCAACACGTGGCCTGACGATTGAATCTAGCATGAAACAGACTGTCGCCTCTAAGTGTTGACTTCTATGTTCTCATTTATATTTACACACGCCAATTCCAATTCCAGATCATAGTTTCTGTTTTGGAAACGATTATCTTGAGTCCTGCTTCTTGGAATATATAGTTTTGTTTGTTTGTTTTGGTTTACGGCTTAACAAATTCAATGGGTTATTTAATGCCGAAAAGATTTTTGTTGCTGGTAATATTTTTTCAAAAATGTATAGCTGTTAATATTTTTTTCCAAAAACGGATTACTGGTAATATCTTTTTCCCCCAAAAATCTATTTTTGGTAAACTTTTTTCCTTCAAAAATGTATTGCTGGTAATACTGTTCCTTCAATTTTCTTCAAAAATGTATTGCTGCTAATACTTTTTTTTCCTTCTTTTAAAAATGTATTGCTGTTTATCATTTTCAAAAATGTATTGCTGGTAATCGAATTATTGGTAATAATTTTTTCTTCAAAATATCATTGCTGGTAATAATTTCTTACAAAAAATAAATTGAGGGTTTGATTCTAGAGCTGTGGAGGTTTTGAGGAACGTGGAACCACTTCTTAATTGCTGGTGTTCCCAGGTCCACCCTGAGCCGGGATGGTAGCACTTGTTAGGGGTCCCAGCTATGGGTAAATAGTTAACCCCTAAACTGTGATCAAAACACTATGAAAGTATAAAAATAGGTTTTAATAACAGAAATACGGTTTTATAAAAAAATATTACCAGAAATACATTATTAGCAGCAATACATATTTGAAAAAAAATTATTACCAGCAATAAAAAAAATAGTCGTCTAATGACGAAGAGCAGAGTCTTGTCTCGGGAAACAGCTACTCGACTCCGTTTTTTACGGGGTCTAAGGAGAACTGTTGGCCGATCGTACGGGCTCGGATATCCCACCTCAATTAGTTTAGTATTTTTTAGATATTAAACATTTTGTTGCCAATTATGCTTTTACACGATTTGGACAATTTCGCTGTTACACCGGGTACACTGTTGACATCTGCAATTTTTTTTTTTAACGGATTGGCGCTTTGCATGTCATTCTTACGAAACTCTCGATCTACTTAAGTATATGATTCGAGGCTTTACACTAATGTTTCAGTTTTGTGGCAGCTTGTGGTATTGCGGGAAACTCACCCTAGCACAATCTATTCCATTTTCCTCATCACCTATACTAAATTTGTTGTAATTAATCCATAAACCGATTTATTTGAAGTGAGTAGATTTACTAATTCCACATCCTGGATTTTTTAAAAGAATTCAGGGTACGCGCTATCACTTCTTTCATTCCAATTCCAGATCATAGTTTCTGTTTTGGAAACGGTTATCTTGAGTCCTGCTTCTTGGAATATTTAGTTTTCTTTGTTTGTTTTGGTTTACGGCATATCAAATTCAATGGGTTATTTAGTGCCGACAAGATTTTTATTGCTGGTAATATTTTTTCAAAAATGTATAGCTGTTTTTTTGAGGTTGACATGACGTAGAACAAAACAAACATGGAGAAGGCCGTGTGACAAATCTGAAGATATATAACGGCGAAAGTGCAGATAATTTTTGACTTACACTCGTAAAATATAAGAACATTTTTAAAATCTGTTTACCTTGACATTAAAATATGACCGAGTTATTTCAATATATTCTTTGTTTTACTAAATACTGAAACATTGTGATATACACAAATAAAGGAAGAAGAAAAAATAAAAACCGGCTTTAAATGAGATAAAATTTAAATTCTCAAATAATACAGGTAAAATAACACTCAGGCCCACCTACCGCTTCAGGTGAATCACGTTTCATCTCGTTAAAGGAGATTTTGTTTTTTGTGAAATAAAATTCTTTTTCTAATAACGCCATATCATCGGTAAAAAATATGCCATGGTTAAAATTGTTCAAAAGCGTCTGAGATATTTACATTTGTCGTCGTATACTTACGCAACTTTATTCGCACTCACAAATACACAGCACACCGACACATATGGGGGTCATAAGCTGACTATGAGACTATAATGCCAGAGCTGTGGAACCTTGTATGCATTAATTTCAACTCTTATTAATAACTGCCTTGTTTCTTTCCAGGAAGGAGGGTGAACTGAAGAGTTCATAGCCTGGCAGTATAAGGTTGATGCAAGAGCCGTGAAACATTATACGCTTTAATTTCAAATCCTCTTATTAAGAACTGCACTGTTTCTTTCCGGGTACGAGGGTGGGCTGAAAAGTTCGTAGGCTAACTATAGAGGAGAGAGAGAGAGAGAGAGAGAGAGAGAGAGAGAGAGAGAGAGAGAGAGATGTGTAGCCTTGTATGCATTAATTTCAGCTCCACTTATTAATAACTGTATTGCTTCTTTCTAGGAAGCACTGAAAAGTTTATAGGCTACATATGAAGTGATGCAAGATTTGTGAAACATTATATGTCTAATGTAAAGTCCTCATATTAATAACTGCATTGTTTCTTTTGTGGTACGGGGGGTGGGTGGGCTAAAAGGTTCATAGGCTGATTCTAAAGGGGTGATGAAATACATGTGTGCTGTGGAGGGATTTCACAGTGGAGGCTTGTATTTGTACTAAATAGGTTCGACGTACAAAACGTTAGAAACTTGATATAATAGGTATTACGCAGAGTAATCTTGTTGTGGTCGTTGACTACTTTCGTATTCGACTAACTCTCGTCCGACATCGACGCTGTTTACTAACTGCCCCACGTAGTCACATGTGGCACAAGGCCGAATTTAATGTGGGGTCCCGGAGCCCGTAGTTTCGGCCAAAAAAAAATCCCCGTAGACCCTGCATAAACGGGATCGGGTCTGTCTACCTCCCCGGACGAAACTCTGCCCTTCGGCATAGCCTCGTCCGGGTTCCTCTCTGCCCGAAGGCAGAGAGTTCGACTGTCGTCCGACATCTACTATTTAGTCACCCCCCACGAGGTATCATGTGGCACAAGGCCGGTTTAACGTGGGATCTCCTAGCCCGTGGGCTCGGCCAAAAATATACCCTTTGAACCCGTATAAACGGGTTCAGGGTCGGTTTACCTCCCCGAAAGAGACTCCGCCCTTCGGCATAGCCTCGTTCGGGTTCCTCCCCGCCCGAAGGCAGAGAGTTCAACCGATCAGCCGACATCGACTGACCCTCGTTTCTCTTACTACTCCTACTTATATTAGGTGGGAGAGTCTATTAACTATAGAATAGGGGTGTTTCACCATAACAATGTGAAATCTTGCATGTATTAATTTCACCTAGACTTAATGATAACTGCATTATTTCTTTCCAGATACGAGGATAGGCTGAAAAGTTCATAAGCTGACTATGATGCAGTGATGCTAGAACTGTGAAACCTTGCATGCATTAATTTCTACTCTTCTTATTAATAACTGCATTGTTTCTTTCCAGGTACGAGCGTGCGCTGAAAAGTTCATAGGCTGACGATGAAGGAATGATGCTAGTGCTGTGAAATCTTAAATGCGTTAATTTCAAATATTCCGCATTGTCTTTTTCCAGGAAAAAAAGTTACCTAAATGCTCAAAAATACTGCAAAAGAAACTTGTGAGGAATTTTCTTTAAAATGCACAAAATTTGCCACTTTAGCACAATAAATCCCCAGAAAAATTGTTTAGGCCCCAGGGGTCTTCATTCCAGCATAGTTTACATGAGTTTTTTTCAATGTATATATCATTGTTTGGTCGAATCTATCTATCTATCTATCTATCTATCTATCTATATATATATATATATATATATATATATATATATATATATATATATCTATCTTCTGGTTAATTTGTATTTAGCTTGCCCAGTTCTTTCTTTCTTTCTTTCTTTCTTTCTTTTTATTTGTTTTTAGTTTACCCAAGACTTCTATCTATCTATCTATCTATCTTCTGGTTAATTTGTATTTACCTTGCCCAGTTCTTCTTTCTTTCTTTCTTTCTTTCTTTCTTTATATTTGTTTTTAGTTTACCCAAGACTTTTATCTATCTATCTATCTATCTATCTATCTTCTGGTTAACTTGTATTTACACATCCTCTAAATGATAATAAATTGCTAATCTATCTATCTATCTATCTATCTATCTATCTATCTATCTATCCTGACAACGTACGCACACACGTCGCTAATATGACCAAACATGCAATAAAAGAGCTCGATTGGTAAGTTCTGTCGCACCAAGCATATTCTTCGGATTCACCTCCTTCAGAGTATCATCTGTTTTGGTCACTTTCTGACAATTTGAGGGGTGTTTAGTTCAACAACGATGTGGAACATAAAATGTGGGTTGACGATTTTTATTGTCATTGAGCAATTAGAAGATCGTTGTCAGGAGATAGTAAACAATAAAAGGGAAAACATTGTTGAATAAATTCATCAGAACTATAAATAAAGAATACATTATGAGAGCCGAACGAATGTATGTAACAATTTAATATATTTGAGTCTATGAGAGAGTGCATGAATACAACTAGATGAAAAGATAAATAAACAATGTTAAAATGGTCACACTTTCACCCTCTTTATCATCTCCACAATATCTATAAATATACATACTTACACACACATACATACATACATACATACATACATATATATATATATATATATATATATATATATATATATATATATATATATATGTTATGGGATCTTGCCCATAATAATCATAATGGACTATTCCATACTTAATAAATACTGCGCCTCAGGAGTAGGCAAGCAAGAAATAAGTCAGTCAAGTGAGTCAGTCAGTAGTTCCAGTCGAGTGACGAATCGAGTCAGAGGCAGTCCGAAACAGAGTCGCGTTCAGACAATTACTGCAAAACATTGGAATAGTGATACTGGTCGAGACTACATTGTTCTCTCTACTAAACCTGATTGTTCATACTAACACTTCTACTTCTCTGTATATATTCCTGTTTGTAATATATCTGTGTTATTCCATACCTGTGTTCGAGGTCTTCTTTATTGGTTCTACCTTGGACTATCACCGTGGTACAAGGAACCGGACCATAGCAATATATATATATATATATATATGTCCGATGCGATGAGAACGAAAGTACTATATAAATTCCAACGTTCACAGCATTAACTCAAAAGAGGGCTCGATACCGATAGTAGAGCGATAATTATTTATTTATTATAATTTTATCATATAGACAAAACCATTTGACTCACTACAAAGATGCAACTTGGTTTCAGTGCATTTCAACTGCACTTCGACGGAGAGAATCACCTGTCGAAGTGCAGTTGAAGTGCACTGAATCCAAGTTGAATCTTTTGTAGTGAGTAAAATGGTTTTGTCTTTTTGATAAAATTATAATATATATATATATATATATATATATATATATATATATATATATTGTTTATTTGGGCAGTAATCCCTCTTTTATGCATGTTTCGTTAAAGACGACGATTAAGCAATTTATTTAGCTTTTCTTGTGTTCTTACAAACTTTTTCATTTTTGGACACAAAGTGTGTAAACACTGTCCAAAAGTTCTGCATATACAAGCGCTTTCGGCTATTCTTTTAACCATTATCAAGGACGATGTTAATTTGTAAATGAATATGTGGCTATTCTTATTTTTATTTTTAAATGACTGTGTGGTTATTTTTATGTACGTATCTGAAGTTATAGGAATGTTTTATTTTCCACAAATGGTTATCAGATTGTGATCGTGTCTGTAGTTAAAGTTAGTGAGCGTTGGTTTTTCCTTTTTTATTATAAGGGCTCTTATTTTTAATCTTATACTACATGTGAATGAGACTGTTATATTTGTATTTTTTACAAGTATTTTTCGGATGGAGTTTCGTAGAACTTCGTGTATGTTTAAATGAATCCTAATTGAGTTTGGTCGGATAGGTATAACGTGAGTCGTTCAGATAGGTATGTAGTAGTTTGACCAATATAATTAGTTATAGGTTTGGTTTGATCAGGAACAGAGTTCCTTAAGGGACACTTGAACTCGTAAATAATATTAGTTCTTTGTAGTTTTATTTTTGCGGATGTGTTGCTATTTTTGAGGATAAGATTAGCTTTTTTTTTAAATTTTTAATAATAGAAAATTGATTTAATTTTCTTGGTCAGAAAATGAATGGGGTTGTGTATTTATTTTTGGTATTTCTAGGAGGACATACGCTTGCTTATAGTTAACATGTATTTGGCTTTTGTAGAAGATGTTAATGTTATTGTTTTTATCTGCATATTCAGTATTGATATTTGTTATCTCTATCTATAAGAGGCAGGATGTGTGTGTCTAACGAATGCACGGCTGAAACGTTCGACGGATTTGCACCAAAATTTACATGCACATGCTCCAAGTTAGCGGAAAGGCCGAGACCGAATTTGCATTTCCCAACTCCCATCGATAGTGGAAATAATCAATTTTTTCATGCTTCTACGTCAGTTTGCATGTAGTTTGTGGCCATTTTCTACTGGCCAGAGTGAGAGCCTATAGCCGGCTGCCACGAATAGGCAGGAACATTTTATTTGGCCAGCGTGAGAGCCAACAGCTGACTGACACGAATGTTAACTAGCATGCAAAAAAAAAATCGATAGCTGCATTCGTCACAAGTGGGAAAAATTTAAATCTTCATGGCACTTTACTCCAGTTGGCTCATTCGCTTGCTTAAACTCAACGTTGATTCTGATTCCGCAGAACTGCGTTGGGTGTGAAAAAAGTATTTGTTGTTATTCTTTTTTCATCTATATTCATATATATATATATATATATATATATATATATATATATATAAATATGCGGTAGGTATATCACAGACATATGCCTCTCACAAATGCCCCCCCCCACATAATAGTAAGGCATTAGTGGTAACGGTGTCTTCATCTCGATTATGTCTTACCATTATTTTGAAGGCATTACCTGGAGGTACATGTGGGAGGTATTTCTGGGAGGTATATGTGGGAATTATTTTTGCAACACACGCACACACATATATAGTGATTTTCCAGGCGTACTTTAGACGTGGCACAAGGCCAAAAGTATGGGGCACCCAGTGAGTATCAGTCGTAATTGTTCTAGCGAGACAAGCTTGCTAACCATTACACTGCCTCTGGGTGCAAACACACACACATATATATATATATATGTACTCGACTCTCCCGTCGAATTTGACGTATGAGGGTCAAGCAGATCAGTTCCCAGGAAACCGACAGCCCGACAACAGCACATGAGATTTGATTATAGTGGTGAAGGTTTCGTGCAGGACCATCCACACTTTTTTGAAGGGCCGAATACAGAGACCTGGTGCACTACGTACCACAAGGTCCCCAAATGACCCTCCGCAGGTTTTGAATTCAGAATTGTCCTTCTCCTAGACCAGTTGCCATCCAAGGCTATAGAACCCATTCTGTCCTGCTATTTTCGGCATAGCTGGAAGGATAAGAAGATGATTCACACCTTTCCTAAGGGTATTAGCACGTAAGTGAATGTAATGGCTTCGATTGGAATTCGAACTCCAATTCCATGATCTAAGCCGTTATCCATTATTCGACCGTGTATAATATTTAAGTAAATGCTCTGTTTCATAATAAACAGTATTAAACAACATTTACCTGCCTGAATGTCCTAGAAATTTTCACAGAAAATATTCGTCCTCCGACAGCATTCGAACCTGTATCCTATACGGAACCACCATTTAGCTTGACGTGCCTTTACCGATTTGGCCACAGAGGTCGAATTTACTGTATTTAAACTTCAATCTTCCATGAATCTCTCACGTTCATTCATATCTGCTCATGGCGTATCAAATGTAAACAAATGACGTCACACATTATGAAATGGACAAAGTCCGACAATCATTTCACACATATATGTGTGAGTGTGTGTGTGTGTGTGTGTGTGTGTGATAAGAAAATAGTTTCAAGGTATGCCATATATACGTCTATACGTATCAGGAACAAAACGTATGTTTGTTTTGAAACATTTCCTATATGCAACATGTCACCAACTGCTTTCTTAAATTAAGATATTAATTATGGTTTTTATAGTAAAACCATTATGCATTTTTTAATTTTTTAAAGGTAAACCATTAGTAAATTCTTCTCTATAATAAAACGGAAGAGATGAATATCTATACAGAAACCATTAGCAATTACTGCTCTATAATACAACATTAACAAATCTTTTTTTTCTATAATAATATATTAGTAATTCCCTGCATTTTGCAAACATTGTCAAAATTCACTGATTCTTTCCTTTTAGGGAATTGCAACATTAGAAATAAATATGAGAACTAAACAATTTGGAATACACATAAAACCGTGAACGAAATAAGATAAGACATAAGACTGGACACAGGAAATGTTTCTGAAGAGGTTAAAAATGATGCGTTTTCGGAGACGGGTTACACTATATACAGGGAAATCTTTTCTGCATTTTCGGCGACCATGACCTATCTGGTAGGCCTAACATTTGCCCGTTATCTTTGGCTAAACCTAACGGTAGGGGTAAGCTCCTTTAGCCTGCCACCCGTAGTCTAGATTCTTTCTTTCTGTTGCTACATGAACAGCAGAATGTTATTCAATAAGTGTGCCGCTGAAAATCTACGAATACCTTATATAAACGTTGAATTAACACTTAATTTCTTTCTTTAAGCAATTCTAACGCTTTCAGCTTACGAATGTCTCGCGAACATGATTCGATCGATTTTTTTTTTTTGTTAATTTGAATTTATAACGTATACAATGTAGCTAAGTAAGTGTTTTATTTCTCAAGAGTGATCAAGGATTGCAAAAGCTTTCCGAAATATATCTGTTTTAACAATGAATTATCCGTTTTTATTCTTTTTAAAAGCAATATCCTTTAATAAAAAAAACAAAAAAAAAAACAAAAAACAAAAACAAAAACAAAACAAACAAATAAGCTCACGCATAGGAATAGTAATCACTTTAGATAATTATCATTTGTTCAGCTAACCATCTTTGTTTGAATTTGTGTTGGTTGGTCAATTTCATAAATCAAATTTTTTCCCCGTTAATTTGTATTTATAACGCATACAATGTAGCTTGGTAAGTGTTTC